CCCCCCCCAAGAAAAAAAAGCTAAACCATTTGTTTTTCTACTTTACTGCTTCTTTATGGACACGGTCTCTTATGCTTCAGAAAAAGAATAATAATTCTTGTCTAAAACTTACTACTCCCTCCCGATGAGCGCCCCTCGGAAATGTTCGGTAAAACGGATTTTAATGTCACAAAGAAGGGCTCCGCGTGCTCCAGATTTCGAGTGCAGCAGATTTTTTTGATTTTTTTTTATCGAAAGTGCAATGTTAAAGAATTTTTTTGGCGGAGAGTTCGGTTTGATACAGCAATTCTATTGGGCGCGGGAACTTTTTGAAAAGAGCATGAAAAAAATGTTTCAATCACTGAAAAATTGTCCGATTTACATTCAGTTTGGACAGGGTGGCTTTTTTTTGCGTAGGATTGATTTCTGAAATAAAAAAGTAGGGGTGCCATTTGAAAAGTTCGACTTACGGGTGGGGCACCCCCCGTACCGCGCCCCTCCCGCTGTTTGCGGAAATATCAAATACGCCAAAAGGTGTCCCCCTCGATATATACGAACACGTATTTTACCGTTTTTCGAAATTCCGACGCGTTCGGCAGATATTCAAGGTGGCTCCTTTTTCGTAAGACACTCTGTATACAGGGTGATCCAAAAGTCCCTTCCACCCCCTCTAACTTTTTACCTAATTGAGATAAAAATTTGAAACTTGGGGGATATTCCTAGGTCAAAGAGAGCTACTTTTTGGCCCTCCTCAAATTTTCAGGGGGCGCCCCTTGGGGGGGGGGGGCAACGGCCCCCAACTTTTAATTTTCTAATGGGAAGACCCCTTTTGTGATAGCTCGTTCGAAAGAGCATAAAAAAATAAAACTTTTCGCGCAAACCCGAAGTCAATATCTCAAACCGTTTAAAAATGGTGGTTGGTTAAAGTTCAAAATGGCCGAAAATTCACACCGGTTATTTGTCGATGGATTTGCGTGAAAATCGGTACGAAGGGGTATTTTGACACGAGAAAAACGAATTTGACGTTAGATTTTCAAAAAAACAGAAATTTCAAAAATGGCCGCCAGTTGTAGTTCAAACTGACCAAAAATTGATTTCTTTACAAATCTAAGTTCAAATTTGTTTATCTTATGGCAAAATACTCTCAAATTCCAAGTTTTAGGAAAATCCATCAGGAAAAAACCGAGGCGAAAATTTTCGTCCATTTTAAACCTTAACCGGCGGCCATTTTGGAAATTTTGGTTTTTTTGAAAATCTAACGTCAAATTCGTTTTTCTCGTGTCAACTTACCCCTACGCACCGATTTTTGCGCAAATCCATCGACAAATAACCGATGTGAATTTTCGGCCATTTTGAACTTTAACCGGCCGCCATTTTTAAACGGTTTGAGATATTGACTTCGGGTTTGCGCGAAAAGTTTTTTTATGTTCTTTCGAACGAGCTATCACAAAGGGGGTCTTCCCATTTGAAAATTAAAAGTTGGGGGCCGTTGCCCCCCCCCCAAGGGGGGACCCCTGAAAATTTGAGGGGGGCCAAAAAGTAGCTCCCTTTGACCTAGGAATATCCCCCAAGTTTCAAATCTTTACCTCAATTAGGTAAAACGTTAGAGGGGGTGGAAGGGACTTTTGGATCACCCTGTACGTGAGCAACAAAGGTAGTTTTGAAAGTAGGTATTCAATTTTTAAAATATCTATGACAAATTTTATTTCCTGCCCTTATCTAGTTTTTCCAAGTCCAAAAAATCTTCAGCCATTCGCTGTCAAGCACATTCAACGATGAAAATGGTCAGTTGTACAGCGCAAATTCACCCTGCGGTATCTGTCAAGTTGGTAGCATGTATACCTAGGGAGATTTGCCCTAGTAGGCCGTGAAGCCTGGTTAGGCACTTGTAAGCTTATCAATAAAATGTGATATTCTTCTTAGACCAGTGTCTCGCTTTTCACCTTTCCCTTCAAAGGCATCTCTTGCGATATTATACACCCCTCTCAAATAGAAGCTCCGTTGGCTCGGTACGTAGTGCATTCGATTCGTGTTAGGCAGGTCTGAGGTTCAAACACCGAAAGGTAGACAATAATTTGAAAGTTCATCCCAAGAAGAAATAAATGACGACAGTTCCCAATATGTGAAAAGTGTATTTACTTATTTCATCACGACATACCTACCGCAATTTAATGAATTTTAGAAAGCATGCACGAGTTTTTTTACGTATAAGTTTGTACATAAAGAAACTGGATCTTCTTCAGGAAAAAAACTCAATCTTTTTTCGTGAAAAACTCGAACTCCTTACGAATTATTATTGTAAAGAAGACCACTTACCCACCACCTGCATTTTCCTTGCGTCCTCAAAAGAAGGAAGTACACTTAAAGTTTGGTTGCATCTACATCATCTCTTTCCAAAGTAGCAGTGATCGCGATAAATTGCGATTTAATCGGAGAATGTATCGCGATTTTATCGACGTCGATTTATTGCAATATTATCGGATAAAAAATCGCGATAAATTGCGATTTCATCGCATTAAATTGCAATAAAGTCGCGATTTTATCGACGGCGATTTATCGCGATAAATTGCGATTTCATCGCATTAAATTGCAATAAAACTTCGATTTCATCGAACGAGATTTTGTAGAGATTAAATTGAAATTTCTCATCAACGCCCAATAACGCATGAATGACGCTAATGAAAGATGTTCTTTAGCGGAGGTATAAGAACGACTCGATACGAGGTTGGGCGTGGGGTTTGGATGGTGGGAGGTACGTCCACACTGAGAAAAAATTCTCGGCGTTTTTACCAAGGTCCGTTGGTAACTTTACCATCTCACTTTTTTTTTACCAATTATTGGTAATGTTACCAAGGGAGAGTGGTAAGCTCACCTAAAAACCGGTATTTTTACTGGTTTTTTTCAGGTAGAAATATGTACCACTTCTATTGGTAATCAATTTCCGGTAACTTTACCATTTAATCTCGGTAATTCTACCACAGTCGATAAAAAATGTTGGCGTTTTTACCAAGGTCCATCGGTAACTTTGCCATCTAACTATTATTGGTAATTTTACCAAGACAAAATTATGAGATTACCAATAGAACCTTATTTTACCAACCGTATTTCAAGGTATGAAATAAAATACAGGGGAGGGAAAATAAAAAAAAATCCAATGAAAACTCGGTGTCAGTCAACGCGATGACAAAAGTTGTAAGGTTGCGAAGCGCCGATCCATGTATAAGAGGCTTCAATTTGCACCCGTGAATCATATAGTGGCCATAGCCTAGTGGAAAAGTGCTGGCCCTCCAACGTGGCGACTGGCGTTCGAATCCCCGCGGAGGCTCCGGGGATTTTACGCTCGTCTTCGTCAAAGGACCTGACGGCTGAACTTAACGGCAATCGGCTAATAGCGTAAACCCCTTTTTTTGGCAATTTTATCGGTGATAAAATCGCTAGGATCATCAGCATATGAGCGATCATCCTCGCGATAAAATCGCAATTTTTTCGGGCCGATAACATCGCAATAAAATCGCGAAAAGATCGAGGATAATCGCTCAGATGTTGATGATCCTATAAGCGATTTTTCCGTTGAAAAACGCTACTTGGGTTGTAGGACATCTGAAAGTTGTCTGATTTTAAAATATCTAGAACCACTATAGCTTCAACAAGAATGAACTGCTGTACGTATCAGTTACTCAATGTATCCTGGCAATCAGTGATTGAATCAGGTTATCCGTCAAAATTGGATGGCGGGTCCCTGAGTTTTAAATTGTATCGACTGGTGGACTGTGTTTCATTCAGTGGCTCAGACCGGTAAGGAGTGAAGTGGTCAATTTTGAAGTTTTTCTTGGCCCTCCGTCCAGAAGGAAGAGTCTAACTCTCACTTTGAATTCATTCTGTTATCCGAGGGTGGATGATTTATTGTAATGTATCTTAATGTCTGTCTCTATTGACGGTCATTAATTGTACATGGGTCAATTGGATGATCTGTCTCTCGCTTTGTATTTTTGCAGATCGACACTTCTAGGAACTTGCAATCGATGTACATTGCTGCTTTGTTGCAAAGTGGATTTTCCTGACCCAATGGATTACAGATTCGAGCAAGTTGGTGAGTGTTTTTTCTTCATTTTCTAAACTTTAATTGAGCATGTTTGCATGGCCCAAATATCCCGTGTCTCCATTGGGAAGCTTCGTTTCCATGGGGACACTTGCTTCTCTGGAAATTTAGGCCATGGCTGGTTGCTATACGCTACTGAACCTTGAATTTTCAACAGTGACGTGGTGATAAGAATGCCATTTGACGAAATTGAGCCAAAAGGCATCGGTATGGGTTCTTCACATTTTAGTCACAGCTGATTGCTCGCTACCAAACTATGGCTAAATGATAAGAAATTCCATTCAGATTACTTTAAGCACTAATTCCTTTTATTAAGTGAGACATTTATATTTTTTTTCGTTGTCTTGACTTAATAAACTACCTAAAAGCAGTTTTTCCTACATTAATCCAAAGAACAAATAAAGACTTGTCGATCGCATTGATTCTCATGAGTAATCATCATTTTCCTTTTCTCTTATGTCTTGATTCTGGAATCTCTTATGTCAGGATGTTGATCTGTATTATTATTTTTATATTCCTGTTTATTTTTTGGTTTTCTTCATCTCTTTACTAGGATGTATTCTAAGCCTTTGGTATTGTGTTCATTTGTTCTTTGTATTCATGAGTAAAAGAAACAATTTTTATAAGTATCACGTACTTATGCTATTTTTTGTACAGGCCACCTAGAAACCTACTTGTTACACATTTAGAATGGTACCCCATCATTTGGGTTATCTACCCCATTTTATACCCATCTATATGGTATTTAATAAATACCCTTTTTTATACCTATTTTATATGGTATTTTCTACCATAAAAAAGGACACTTTATAGGATATTTTAAGATGGTATTTTATACCTACTTTCAGCTATTTAATACCCTATTTGATAGGTATTTGAATAGATATTTTTTACATATCTTGAAGGGTATTATAAATCATATTTTGGCTACTAGGGCAGTGATTTTAAGGTCTGTAGCACTAATTCATCTTTGTACAAAATCCTCAATTTAATATTATTAAACTAAAAAGAAATCCCCAAAGTTCAGACAACTTTGAAGGCAGCATTAATTCCACCACATATCTCAAGAATTGCCAAGTTTCATCTTCTGAGTAATCTTTTATTTCATATTTTCAAGTGTCGCTTATGCTGCGTCGGTTGCGTAACCGACACAATTTGGCAGTGCCGCCATGTTTGCCAGGATCTCTAGCAGTCCCGCGGGAGGAGCTGATACCTGTAATTCAATGGGTTGTTTGCCAATCACTTTGACTCTGTACTGAATCAAAATAGTTCTTGCCATAGCCGGATCTAGGAAGTTTAATATCTTAAATGAAGTTATGAAAATTCTGTAAAATTGGTGCACTTTTATTTCTAAGGTGTAGGTAGCACATTTTAGCTACCTATCCCTGTTATCGTGAAATCACTCAACAACTGTTACTTTCCTTTTATCGTGCAGTATTCCTATCATTTCAAATAGACGTCCTGTTGCTTCAAAAAGATTTCTGGCCGATTTAACAAAAATTTCTATCGCAGAAAAATCAACAAGGATATTTTTAACAGTTAAGTTTCTCGGTCGTACGTTCCAAAATATCACTTTCGCAGAAGGCGGTCACATGAGCATCGCTCAAATAAATTTCAAGTTCATGAGCAAAGATCTTCATTATTCAGGAACACAGTAAACTTAATAAAATAAAAAAAGATTGATTACCAACAACTGCAACAACTTTTCATGCTAGCGCATTCAAGTCTCCTAGCATAAGGGTGGGGCATTAGGGGAGCACTATTTATCGCTTATACCTAAGTATGTATAAGGAGTGAAATAAGTTGTCAGAATTTTTTTTCAGCTGGTGTTCTTTGCAACGGATAACAACATATATACCTATTCAAATTTTATGGAGGGGGCGAATAAACTTGTAAGACCATGAGAGCTCCAATGTAGCTGCAACGTGGCGATACAAATCATTTACTTGATTAGCCGTAAGAAATTCACGGACTTTTTTTGACCCTATTGGAAATACTTTAATGCTTTTAGAATTGTCATTCGCGAGGTTTAATCAATAGTACCTACTCACCAAATAAACCAGCTGCAATATAGATATAAACGATTGTCTCTTCGCTACGAGGGTTGAAGTACACGAACAAACATCCAAAGATACAAGCCAATGTTCCAACGAAATAATTGAACTGCACAACATAAAATTATATAAATTAAAAGTTACAAAAATGTATTAAATTTGCAGAGACATTGTTTCACAAGAAGTTTTCAGTTTGAATTCCTTTTTATTCTATAAAATTCTTGTAACTGAGTGCTCAGGTTTTTTTTTGCAACAGTTATTGCGTTGTTTATTTACCAAGTATTTACAATTTTTTACCCGTTTTGACTGAAGCTCTTATAATTTGGGGAGCACAACTGAGTTTTTGAAGTTAGTTACCTGGTAAAAAATCCACTTCGATGTTGAAAGTCCGCAACCACATATCTCGCTTCCGGTGTTTTAAAATCTCTACTCCTATTTTATTTGTTTAATGAAGAACAAATCAACCATTCCATCAACTTTTCGCTGATAAAATCGAGGCAGATTGTTAAGAATTCCCGCGGAGTAGTTTTCCACTAAAAAGTAAAGCATGACAGGAAGCCTGCATAACATCGCAAACCGAGTTACGTAACTGCCAACTTTTACTGTCGATTTGTAATCGGCGGATTGTAATTTCGTATGTTCATACCCATCAACTGGGCCCGTATTTTGTTGGTGTATGGTCGGCTGCCATCCAAGTAAGCGGTCCTCTGAGTAAACAAAACTTACCGTAAAGTCAGCGGGCTCAGCGAACCTCGTCCCAAGGGTGGATTGATTTGGGCGTAACTTTACGCGCGATGATACGATTGCCTAGCAAAACTTGGGATTCTGGACAGTACCATGCTTAAAAGGGATGTAGCTATAAGATTGATCGGTTGCTACACTCCTTCTCTTATCCTTGCTTTCATCAGGCCTTGTGGAACTACTCCTTCATTGATGACGTAATAAAGTCTCAAATCTCGGCTTTAAGGGGCCACTATCTTCACCATGTAAACTATACCTACTGATACTCTAAGGGTCTTCTAGATGCATTTCCAAAAACTGATTTTTGTTTGATTCCTTAGACTTTATTCTACTTTAAGACGAGACGATTGTAAAAAATTCTGAATATTGAGATTTTCTTGAATTGTACACAAAAAATAAGCAAATTATAGGCCTTCGAACTAATTTCAGTTTTTTAAAGAAAAAAACGAACAACCCTTGCGTCTGCTGTATGAGAAAAGGTACGGAAATGAACAAAAAAAAGTTTGTAGAAAGTCATCCATTAGATCCTGAGAAAGGTGTACCTTAAGGTCAAAAACATGGTTTTGAGAAAAACATATTTATACTTTTGAGCATGCGCATACCTCCATAAGGATTGCATCACTGCGTCTGTAACAAAAATTCGCATAGGTAACTTATTCAATAATGATCTCATTTTCAAATCTACCTATAATTATAAGTATGGAGAAGTCGCTTTGAAAAAAAACGAGAGGAAATTTTTCGGGAAAAATAACTGCAGATTCCCTTTAAAGCAAGAGCCTCAGTCGGATGCCTCTTGGAAAAAAGAGCATGATAACAAATTACAAATTATCTTAGAAAGGCACTAACCGAATTATCTGTGAACACACTCTTCTGGTGCCTCATCAAGAGGGAGGCGCCTAAGGAAGCTATGTACGATACTAACGGCACACTTGCTAATGTTCCTGAGTCTGACACATGAGCCTCGTTCACATATAGTGGAATGTATACCATGCTAATGGTTAAGAATAGCCTGCTTGCGGTGTAAAGCGTGGCCACTTTGTATAGTTCCGACTGACAGCAGTACTGAGACTCAGTTCGCGGAAAGGTTTGATTATTACTAGGTGGATTTGATATGGAAGCACTCGAGCCTTTTTCATGCACAAAACAATGAAACAATAATGTGCCGATCACTCCAGTAAACGTAACCACGAAGCTCAAACTCTGAAACAGACAATGTTACCACAAATAAAGATTAGATTTTCCATCCAAGATTTATCTTCGACATGCAAGACCGTAGTCGCTCTTTACAGAACTCTTTTTCTTAGGAGGCTTCATCTGGTTTACCTCGGTACCTACATACATATTTTGATTGAGGAAGGTGGGATGTTTTTGAGGAAATCTTTGATAGATATACGAGTAAAATCATAAAAAGTTATACATAAAAGTTAAACGAATCTTTAGTAAACTGCCTTTCTTCGCAAGGCAGCATCACCCACTCAGCATTAAACCTTAATACAATCTTAGTATAATATTGCACATCTTACACATCAACATTGCAGCCATATTATATTCATCTTAGAAAGAATAAGGTAAGATTGCATCAATGTTGATGTGCTACTACCAGGGACTTGCCTGAACATTGCAACAACATTGATAGTAAGGTTGAAGTAACATTACAATGATTTTACATAATATTGAAATGCCCCCGTCAACATTGTTATCAGGCGGTTGACACTTCTTGACATCTCCTTGATTGCCGGTCTATCAAGCTTACATCAATGTTGATATTGTCAGTCTTATCCTGACAATGCTGATTTAACATTCCATCCATATTCGTAACATTACATCAACATATGTCAGCAAAGAACAACATTGCTTTAAGATATCATGCTGAGTGGGCAGAAATCACCAGACGCATTTTGACAGCCTAGGCTGCTATCGTAGCATTTTATCAGTTATTTTGGTATAATTACGAGCTCTGTAACTGCTTTTCTGCGAAAGTTATGCGTTAATGGATGCTGGATAGGTACTGTAGGTATTATTTGCAAGAAATAACCCTAGTAGCACATCTTGTAATATAATTCGTGAAAAAAAATTAAAACTAGTAAATTTTATGAGTACGAAAGATGTACGTAAAAGAACTCGTAAAAAATCAGAGTCTGAGAACTTAACATAAATAATTTGTGATCAAAGACGTAAAAAAAACTGGGGGATTGAACTGAAATCTGCACGTAAAAAATTCGCGATTTTTTACATGTAGAAAATCAGGAAAAAATGTCTGAACGGAAAAGAGGTGTGTGAAAAAACGGCCAAAAATGCCTCAAGGCATTTTCGAACTTTGAACACTTGGGGTGCTACAGTAGCTTCCGAGACGCCCAAAACCGGTCGCCGTTTTGCTTAGAAGCGCCGGGTTGGGACGTTGCCATTTTTTAAACTGGAAACCTTTAAAAATTCATATCTCCGCTGCATCTCAACCGATTTCAATGAACTTTTTTTAAAATGGTCCTCTTAAATAGAGCTTTCTAGTGGTGTATAGTTTTCTGGGGTTTACTTGGCTTTAAGCGGCACTTACGCGGTTTTAGCAGTTTTTATAGACACAAAAATTTTGTTTTTATTTTACCACGATCGTGGAATCGGCGTAATCTAAACAAAAACCAGTCTAAATGAGAGTTCAGGTTCTCACCTTTCTAACGAGCACATTGAAATAGGACGGCACGATTTCCGGGAAATCGTGTGTCCTTTGGTGCAGCGTTCGGCGCCGTCTCGGCATCGTTCATGTGTCAGCGGCCGCGGTTTTCCGGACTGAAGTTTGGGCGAGCGTGCCGTCTCGGGGCCAGCTTTTCAGGGTCGGAGTTAAGCTGGGTAGGCTGAAGCTCTGGTTCTGGGCAGTTGGCTACGTGTACGCATAGAGGCATCACCGAGGTCCAGCGCCCTTAGTGTCGGTAGGGCCCACTAAGTGTAGTTTGAGTGTTTTGCATTGTGGTAAGAAATCTGGGCCGCCAGTCAGTAGTTTGTGGCATCGTTTGTTCTGTTTGAGTAAAAGTGTGTTAGACATATACACCCTGATACGTTCTTGTTCCCCCTTTTCTTCCATCCTCGAGCTACGCTACGCCCCCCAAGCAAGGCGGTTCGTGTGGGGACCATTGACCCATTTTATCCCCGGTCTATTACATGGTGGAAAGGCGCCTCAATTGAACCACGTGATTCATATCGATCCAGGTAAGTCTCTCGGTGTTTCACCATTAGTATTCCTTTTTAACGAGTCTTTTCGCTCTATTTTTTTTTTTTTTTTTTTACTTTCTTTTTTTCTGAATTCATGAAAGTTTGTCTTTTTTTTCTTCTTCTTCTTCTTTCTTTTCCTCAATTCTTACGAGTAAAGGGAAATATCGCGACAATTTTTTTTCCTCTTTCTCTTAATTTTTTTTCTTTTCTTGTGTTTTTTTTAAAAAAATTTTTTTTTTCCTCCCTCTTCTTTATAACTATAATTTCATTTCTATCCTTCAATTTTAAGGTATTTTATACCTAACATCAGCTTTTTCCTATTATTCCGGCTGATTGTATGCTGGTCTACATAATTTTTACTCGCATCAGTGGATTCGCAGGTTTTGAGAGTCACTAGTGAGGAAAAGTATATCGAGAAAATTGTCGTTTTTTGTTTTTTTTTGTTTTTTTGGTTGTTGTTCTCTTCCTATTATTAAAGTGAATTTTTCTTTTCCATAAAACGTTTTGTACCCAGACCCAAAACGAAGTACAATGAACTAAATGAAGTTCAAGATTAACGGTGAAGATATCACGCTATCTGATAAAGAGGCTTTAAGTATTCTGATTCTAACAACTCCTGCGTTATTCAAGAAAAACGGTAAATATTCAGAGGCGCAAATTAAGTCAGCCATTTTAAAAGTTGATAAGGAAGACCTTAAAGAATGTATTCTTTCCAAAAGGGGTTTAGACTCAACAAGTAAAATAGAAATTTTAGAAGAAAGTGAGGCAGACACAGAGAGCCCCGCAATAACTGAAAATAAAAAACGGTTGGTAAATCCGAGCACAGGCAGATCTAAATATATAAACCCCAAACCAGTCGAGTGGGAGAGGGACGAGAAAGGAAGAATTAAAAATATTAGCGGCGGGAACTTTGTAAGCCTCAAGCGTGAAATAGAAAGTAGAGGACACTTGTACAATTTTAATTCCATCGAGGAAGGGAGAAGATACTTAAGAAAATTAGAAAACGAAAAATTCGCAGAGGAAAAATTGTATGAATCTGTAGAATCAGGATACTTAACGCCAAAAAGAGGAAGGCATTCTGAAAAATAACAAAATATAAAGGATAAGGAAGATTATCAGTCTGAGTCATCGGCCTTTACCCCAGCAGGTACGTCCATAAGTGATAAGTGGCAAGAGTTTACAAGGGACCAAGACCTGTGTTACGAGTTGGTCTCTACAAATTCAGAGGATATCAATTTATCCTTACCGGACACTCACAGAAGAGTAGAAAGTTTCGACTGGACTGGTTCAGAACTAAATTTATTCTTTGCAGAACAGGAGCAGCTCCAAGGGGTAAATATGGCCGCCGAGAATTTGGTGGTAGCACTCCAAGGGGTCTTGAACCCTGATGTGGCGAAATCAAAAATTTTCACAGGGGAGGAAAACACTGATGTCCGAAAATTCTTGGAGGAATACGAGGAATATATGGTCAGCAGAAATAAAGGAGATGATGCAAATAAGAAAACTGGCCTAAAGAACTTTTTGGGTGGGATGGCAAAAACATTTTATCAGAATGAAGAGGAAGCTTTTCAGGGTCTGGAAAATTTCGCAGGTTATAAGAAAAAACTGGTGGAAGAATTTGACAGGGGAAACGGTGACATGGAGTCATTCCTGAACAGAATCCAGGGAACTAACGAAAATCCATTCAAATTTGTGGGAGATAAACGTAAATTGGCATTCCGCGCTAAATTTGATCCAAATAGTAAGGACGTAATTAAAGCAGTTATTCGGGGTCTCAAAAAGGAAATCGTGGACAAAATTTATATGGCAAATAACAACACGTACGTCGATTTGAAGGAAAACATTCAACGGGCAATTTTAAGAATCAATGAGGAGAAATTAACTATACTGAGTGAAGCAAGTACCATTAATCTGGTGTCAAATTCTGCGAGGGAAACCCACAATAGTGTAGAAAGCCGGCTTAGTAATTTGGAAAAGAATTTCAAAGCTTGGGAAAATAATTTCAACGCTTGGGGAAGTCGAATGGAGTCTCTAATATGTAATTATAATATGAGTCACCAAGGACAGAATTCCCAGGCACCCCAGAACAATTTCCAGAATTTCGGACAGGACCCAAGACTCTTTAACCCCTATGTCCGTAGATGTTATGAATGCAACGAGCCTATTCATTTACGCAATCGGTGCCCCCGTCTTTTCGGCCAACAAATGTCCCAACAGCCGTTAAAAAACGCGAATATTCCCGACCAAGGGAAATTTTAGGTCGGGAAAACGAGACGGAAGCCTCGATAAAAAAGGCAGTATCAGCAACTTCTTCCCAGCAGGTGAACGGGATTGAAAAGGGCAACACCAATAAAAAGCAAGTTTCCTTTTACACTGATTACACTGGCAAGTCAATTCCCCCAGATTTACGACAGGCCTTGGGTCTGGAGGAGTATCGTGTGGATTGTACGTGGGAACTCGATTTGAAAATTCAGGATATCATCAGTACTATGAAGACGGATCAGTCAATTGGGAACCTGGGCGAGGTTGTTATAATCATGGCAGGGGCAAACAACTGCACAGATAACATTCTCGATCTCTACAAAAACGTGGATTTTGACTTTTTGAATAAACTAGGAGAGTCTCACCTAGTACTCCTGTTAGGAGTACCCAAACAAGAAAAGGCTCAAGCCGAAAAAATTGCGAGGCTAAACGGATATGGATACAGGAAGGTGCGAATGGATACAGGAACATAAGGTATCTACCACTATCTGGGTTCACGAAGGAGGACTGGATTCCGAAAAGTAAAGCTCAGCATTGCAGTATGCTAAAAGAGGAAGCACGGGGAAAATTGGTGAACATTTTGAAGGCGAAAATTGATGAATATTTTTCGGCCCGGCTAGGACACATCGAATCGGCGCACTCAAAACCAGACATGGTAGGTATAAATAGTGTCAGGAAATTGCCACCGGGGAATAAATTATCGGTTCCTGGCGAAATAAGAGGGAAAAAGGTAGAAATTATTATTGATACGGGCGCTGACGTATCAGGAGTCTCGGAGGAATTTACGGAGAACATTGATGAGGGAGAAGCCAAATTTTTGAGAAACGCGGATGGCTCCAAATTGAACGTTCTAGGTTCAGCAATGGTGCAAATTGAACTGGAGAACGGGAAAAAAATGGAGGAGAACGTTCAAGTCTTCAAACAAATCCCTGGAAAAGTTATTCTAGGGATGCCATCAATTAACAAATTCGGACTGAAGAATATTTTACCGAAAGAAAGATTGGATCAACTCGTGGAGGGGGAAGAAAGTTCAACAGAAAATTGGCAACGGGACTGGAACAAGGAAAAGTTTGAAATTTACAAAGGAAAATTACAAGATGAAGATTATATTTCAGTAATAAACAGAATCGAAACTTGCAATTTGGAAGCCAGCGTAGAGGAAAGTTTCTCCATCTTCCAGTGCAAAAATGACGCGAGTGTTTCAGCCGAATTGAACGAGGTCAGAAATGCGGAATTTTCAAGATCACAATGCATTGACCGTGAAAATGCTGACACGGATACGGAGGATATTGGACGCGCACGGAGCGACGCAGTCTCGAATGGCGAGGAAAAGATAAACAATGGGACATCCGCGGCACACACGGAGAAGGAGACCATTGACATAAACAAAAATTTACCGCCGGAAAAATTTTTAGAATTACGAGCGCTGCTGGACGAATTCAAGGATTTATTTCTTTTCGATGAGATGAATTTCAGAGCGGGACAAGTAAAAATGGAGCCAATTGAATACTCATTTTTGGATCCGGACCCTATTTATGTAAAGCCATGAAAACTATTGGGGGAGGACAGAGATTTTGTGCGTGAAGAGACTCAAAAAAATGCTTCACTGGGGAGTTATAGAGCACTCCAGATCCCCTTACTCAAGTCCAATTGTGGTGGCACGAAATAAGGAAAAAAAGCGCCTGTGTAATGACTTTTCGATTCTGAATGAAAGGATAAAAATGGAAAGATACCAGCTCCCAAGAATTCAAGAATTATTGGATGTTTGTCGCTCAAAAAAGTATTTCGCAAAAATTGATTTTGTCCGGGCTTTTTGGCAGTTAAAACTGGCAGAGGAAAAAAGCAGGGAAGCCACGGCGTTCAGCTGCCCCCATGGCCATTTTTGTTACCCAGTTTTAAGTTTTGGCATTAAAACTCATCCTAGCATTTTTCAAAGATGCACAGACTGTGTTTTGTCGGACCATAAAACAGCCTGCAATTTTATTGATTACATCCTGGTTTTCGAGGAAACATGGCAGGCATTCTTAGCGGCATTACGGGAAGTGTTCTGGAGATTGCGGGAATGGGGCTTCACGTTGGGTCCGAAAAAATCATGTTTTGGTTATCAGCAGGTCTCTCTCTCCGGATTTGAGGCAGGAATCCAGGGGCTCAGGAACGATCCCAAAAGAATCACGGCTATCACCACCTTACCTCCTTCAAATACTGTGAAAAGGTGCAGATCCTTGTTGGGAGCTTTGAATTTTCTCAGACATTTCATTCCGAATTTGGCTGAACTCACAAGACCGTTTATTGACGCCATTAAAGAGAAGCCGTTTCGATCGACGTGGCAGTGTCAAGAAAATTTTGGAAAAGTAAAAGACATACTATGTAAGGACCCCGTGCTGGTCCCATTTGATGGAACAAAGAGGTTATTCGTCTGCACCGACGCATCTACTGTGGGAACTGCAGGCGCACTTTTGCAAAAAGATGAAAGAGGTTTCTTCAGAGTTATTGGATACACGTCAAAATTACTATCACCCAACGAGAAAATGTGGTTCTCCAAGGACATTGAGTTGTTAAGCGTTGCCCGATGTCTCGACGAGTTCCGATAATTTTGTTTCAATCATGACGTCACAGTAATTTCAGACAACATAGCTTTGAAGTTTTTCTCAAAGGTAAAAAATGCAACTTTAAGATTGCAAAGACTGGCGTTACGAATTGAGGAGTATAACATTAAGGTGGAGTTTATTAAAGAAAAAATGAATACGCTTGCTAATTATTTATCGAGGAATATCGCGAATATGGACGAAAAAGGTGTTTTAAGGAAGGAAAAAGAAGAGGAAAGGCAAGAAGAATTGATGATAAGGAGCATTGTATCTGAGGACGTAAATGCATTTCAGGATCTAAAACTGCGGCAGAGTAAGGACGATTTCTGCAGAGACATGATGGCCGCACTAAAGCAAGATGAGGAAAACGACTTTCCTCAAGAAGAAAAGGACAAATTAAGAAGATTATCAAGGCAATTTGAAATGGTACATGGTATTTTATGCAAAAAAACATTCATCAACAACAAGGCTGGAACTGTGGTGGTTCTACCGGTGTGCTTGATACCCAAGGTGCTACACTCTTACCACTCAGCCGTAGTAGGGGGAGGACATTGCGGTAAGACGAGATTAGCCGCTCGAATACGGGAAAAGTATTACGTTCAAGATGTACAAAGAATTTGCGCGGATTTTGTGAAGACGTGTAAGCAGTGTCAGAAAAACAAGGGAACTTCAGAGAAAAAGGTGACGGCAATGAAATCTATTGAAATCCCTCCCGGTCCTTTGGAGTGTTTAAATTTAGATACGTCTGGTAAGTATTGCAAAAGTATAACGAATAAATACTACATTGTGTCGTTAGTGGACTATTTTTCTCGATATATTGTCTCAGTGCCGGTGAACTCTATTGATGCGAAGTCAATTGCTGATGTGATTTTTGAGTTTATTTGTAAATTTTCGTGCCCTAGAGTGATTCGTTGCGATCAAGCGGCGACGTTTTCAGCTGATCAAAGAACTTACTGACAGATTGGGCGTAGAGATGAAATTTTCTGTCAGTTATATTCATATCACAAATGGATTGGTGGAAAGATCTTTCAGAACTTTGGTAGGTATAATAAATTGTTATCCCGAGAAAAGTAACAGTAAGGACTGGTGTCGCTTGGTAGGTCCTGCTTGTTACGCTTATAATGCAACCCCACACGTAGGTCTCGGAGTTTCACCGATGGAAGCACTTTTTGGAGTGAAACCAAGGCTGATGATCGACGTACCACTGTTTCCAACTCCTTCACAGCCTTTGGAAGTACAGGACCGGTTGAGATGGTTGGAAGAGGTGAGAATCATTTTAAAAAAGAATTTGGAGAAAAGTCAGGTGACTCAAGCAAATAATTTTGCAAAAAGGCATCGGATAATCACTTTTGAGCCGGGGGAGAAGGTCCTCATATACGATCCTGCAAAAAAAGTGGGGGTAACGGAGAAAATGAGGAAAAAGTGGGAAAAGGAGGGGGTGGTTGAAGCGAAAATAAACGACGGACTTTACATGATAAGGTCAAACGGTGTTTTCCAACAGTTCCAGATCGACCGGCTGAAGAAATTCTACGAAGGAGGCAAAGAATAGAGAATCTTGAAGCTAAAAAAAAAAAAAAAAGATTTGGCGTTAAAAGAAATTTTTCAGAAGATTTGAAAATTACTTATAGTTTTATTTCTTCTTATTCTCTGGTCGTAGGAATTTTTGTGTTCCTATGAAACGTTGTAAAATGCATGGATATTAGGATATAAGGTCTAATATATTATATGAGAATAAGGTTAGATGGTTGTAAATATCAGTTCGTTTACCTAATTCGTAAGTGTTTAAGAAAAAAATTTTCGGCTAAAATTCCGTCTGTATGCACAACTAAACTGCGGCAATTCCGCTTACGAAGAGAAAAATAATAAATAAACATACACATATAAAAATATAAAATATAATAAAAAGAGGAAAAAAACAAGCTGGTAGTCTAGGAGGGCCATGTTGGGTGTTTCGACGTGTAAATTGTTTTGTTCTGATGTTTCACTATGAAATTTTTAGCGTTGATGTTATTGACCGGCGTCTGCGGCTCGACATTAGCCGAGGTGAAGATAGAAGAACTGTCAACAGACGTGCTGTTTGAAAAACTTGGAGGAGTGGTGTACACAGCAAATTCGTATTCTGCGGTCATCAGATTCAATTTGAGCTTGCTGCGGGAGCAGGATTTGAAACTTGAAGAAGATTTCAGGGTCTTAACATCATGATTAGAAGGAGAGTCGGCAGCGAATCAGATGCTGTCCTCTTTCGTTGTGAGTTTAAGGAAATTGCACAAAGAACTCTCGGAGTTCGAGGAGCAGACGGATTCGCTTTTCGATTTGCTGCCATCAAAGAGAGCAGGGAAAAGGGGACTCTGCGACGGACTCGGGAAGCTGCTTTCTTGCGTTACGGGAGTGGTGGACCGAGACGAAGCGGACGAATTACAAGCGAATATTCAAGAAATGGAGGCAAAGGAAGGTGATTTGAAGTTAGAAGTATCCGCAAATAAGCTAATGGTGAAGAATATACTGGAACAAGCGGTAAACAACACGGAGGTAACGGGATCAATGGCTAGGAAGTTGTTTGTATCGGACAACTCGATAGCCGAATTGAAAGAATGGTCAGCTGTAGAAACGAAATTAAGAGCTTTGAACTTTTGGGTGCAAAAGATCAAGATGGACAGAGGAGAACTGAGGTTGGGATTGGAAAATGCATTAAATAAAAGGTTGAGCCCTGAATCACTCGCACCCAAAAAACTCAAGACAGTTTTGGAAGCAATTGAGGCCTCAATACCTAAACGATTTGAATTAATCACGGATAAGGAAGGATTAGAGGAGTTTTATGCTGTAGTTCAGGTAATGGTCAAAAAAATGGGGGAGATTCTGGTGGTAACACTGGAAATCCCTCTGAAGAAGGTTGGCCTAGACTTAGAACTGGTTGGGTTGCATGCGATTCCGATCTATTCCCCGGAAATTTTACATTTCGTTCAGGTAAAAGTGGAAGGTTACATAATAATTTCGAGAGACTTTAAGTATTTCACTCTCCTGAGTGAAATAAGGTCCAGGAGTGTAGGAGGAGCCGGGACACCTGGCTGTGCGAGGTTTCGGAACCATTGATGGAAGGCACGGACCAGGATTGTGAGTACGCCCTCTGCTGCCATTTGGGGCTCGAGGCATGTGAAAGAACGATAAGAGCGGAGTCGTCGAATTTTTACCAAAAAATCCTGGGAGACTGGGTATTTTCGGTGAAGAACGAGACGAAAATAAGTATGAATTGTGACGGTGAGTACGATTTCAAGTGGTTGAGGGGAGCGGGCGTACTAAAAGGTTCTGGTGGCTGTGAGTTGGGAGGGGACGGACGCCTTATGTTGGGGGGTTCGAGTGTAACGAGCATGGTTAAGGGTGATTGGTGGACCCCTAGGTCTCCTGAAGGGAGTGAATTAGGTTTGATCTCGGGAAAAGAGAAGGAGGAGATAAGATTGGCGGGAGAGGAAGGAGACTTGTTGCAGAGGGTTCAAGCCTGCGTTAGAAAAGCGAAAGGTGACATACAACTGAGTACGATCCTGGGAGAGTGGAAAAGCGAGAGGGCGAGTAGACCGTGGATTACACCTGCGACTCACATGTGGTCGTTATCAGCGGCTATGATGGTATTCTCTGTAGTGGCTCTAGGGGTGGTCGGCAGGTTGTGCTGCTTTCTGAAGAAAACAGTTGACCTGGACGGCTAATTTTCAGCTACATGTTTTTTTTGTTTTTCTCCTCGCGGTCATCAAGGGGACCTCATGAGGGGTTTAGCTCTACAGTTTTTCCCCTCTCTTCTTTCCTGATTTTTTATTTATTTTTTTTTTTTCTCTCTGTCGGTTTTGTTCACGTAGTATAATTGTATGTTTTTTTTGGCATTACCTTACTTCAGTTCTCATGTTTTTTTTGTCTTTTAATTATTTTCGTTGTACATTCGTTTAGTCATGTTTTGTTCATACTAGTTGTAAATTCCTTTCAAGTTTTATGATTCTGACAATGAGCATAATTTCTCAACTCTTGAGGGTATCGGAATCTAAGGGAATCAGGTATATTGGAATGACCTTGCAGTCTTTCTCGCTTTCAATGCGGGCTGTTGCGTCACCGTTACCATAGAAATGCAGTTTTTGACCATCTTTCCAGTGTGCATCTGAGTGGTAGTTTGAGTGGATTTTGATTGTCCTTGCTTCGTCGGTATTTTTTCGGTGAACGAGGACTAACTCCTGTTCGGATCGGTGGATCCAATGGTATCAGGGTTGCCCCCCTGAGCACAAAAAGGGTTGCATCAGTGAATGACATGCTTGTACTTTGTTATGAAGATGTGTTCGATGCTTAGGGTAATACCTCCCTGAAAAAAGGTGCATCATTCGATGCTATGGGTAATACCTCCCTGAAAAAGGTGCATCAATGTTCGATGCTTAGGGTAATACCTCCCTGAAAAAGGTGCATCAATGTTCGATGCTTGAGAGGACGGCCAAGGAAATGGAGAGCGAGTAGTTGTCAGGGTTGCCT